GCATTTGACGTAGGCATTCTTAACCCTTTAATCGTGTTCATCAAGGGACTAGTTATAGCGGGTTATTAGTGACCTAATTATTCCCTACTCTACAGTGGGTTTTTATACGACTCGCTGCAACCTGAGTTAAAAGGGACGAAAATCTAGGTGAAAACAAAGTCATATAAAAAGCCTGTAAGAGACACAGAGGACAGAAATATGGACTGTCTTAACATATTCATGTCTATCTATCTAGTGATGCCGTTAGATAGTTGAAAACCACTCGATAGAACTATGTGATAGGAATTCTGTAAAATACATGAGATCATACATTTCCTCACAAAATTACACTGGCTATCTTGTGGAAGCCAAGTTACTGAAGGTAGACCGTCATTACTAAAGGTGATTAACATATGTCATATCAAGAATAAGCCAGATAAACCACAGTCAGTCAGAGACGACCACGGAAATAATTCATCTTACGACTCACATAAGACCTTCAACATGGTTGTGCATGGCATAATAGGATTGACTGTGGAGCAAAATATAAACGATTAGTGCCACCTTCACGTTACAGGGCAGTAGAGGTTATTAGAGACGAACCTCGACGAACCTTGCATGTTTACAAGGTTGTCAAGACTATCCTATATTCAGAGCATTTCAATTCCAAAATTGCTTGTTGTGAGTCTTAACTCATATGCAGAGATAAGTAATACACTCAAGGAGTGGCCTAGCAAGAAAAATTAAATCAGTGATGTAATCAGATGCTGTGACAGTTAAGTTTGATTTGCAAGAGAAGGGGAACGAAGAAAACCACCGAGAATGCTACGGCTTTTCATCACCACAAGGGGACAACATAGTCATATTAATGTGATATGATTATGAGCAATAATTTATGCTCAAAATATTATCAGATAAATAATACTGTTCATGCGCCAGACACTCGAGTGGAACCCCGATTGCAAACGACGAGTCGGGTGTCCGAGGGTGACATGGAGGAGATCGCGTGAGGAAGAAATGAGAACTTCTGGACAGTCGTGGAGCCAGGTTCAAAGGATTGAAGAGAACAGAGTGGAGTGGAGACGAGCTACTGAAGCCCTATGTTCCACTAGGAACCCAAGAGAAAAATAATAATAATGATAAATAATACCGTATCAGTGTGTATTATAAATCAAACGAACATATCTAATACGGAATTAACTTACTTGTCTCCACTAATTATATTTAAACGCATCTTTTCTTATTACTAATAATGTATATACTCATAGACTTGAGAAGTCAGATCTTCTAATTCCTACCATGTTGATTTGCATATCTTCCTCCAACTTTTACCAAAACTTTTATTCTGACAAGATATGTGTTTGTTAGAGCATAACAAAAAATTCTAACTATTTTAGTACACAGTTTTCACACTTCGCTATGTTGTTGTGCTATTTGTCCTAATTCACTGACTGAATACTCTTCAAAAAACGAATGTATTTTTAATGCCTAATGTTGATGATTGCTTCACACATTGAAGGTTGTGTACAGATGAAGAGAACTGATGAAACAATAAGACAGTATTTTATCACTTTTCACGAATATCTATTACTACTTTTCTCTACAACTACGCGAGGAAATATGTTCATAGCATACAACGGAGTTTTGTTGAAGTTATATGGATATCGTATTCATCATTTTGAGCATAACAGTGAAGGAATAACCTCAAGCAAACCATCACTTCCATTCATAAACAGAAGGGTAGTAATACTGCTATGTTTTGCACCTCAGTGAGTGATGTTGTCACCACTGAGACTTGAACCTCATAACCATCGCTTCAAACGCCAAGGCGTTTTCTACTACTCCACGGAGGCACAACAGCCACTTCTTGTACAATGGGTATTAGTTATTACTATTTATTGACATATTAGTAATTCTCCATTGTCTTATTGGATAACATTGTTCGACCTCTATTAACATATGAGCTTCTATGCGGATGTCTCAATATTACTTGAATGTTAATTATGGTAATTTGGTTGGTTATGACTTACATAGCATTCAGGCAATATCGAGGCATCCGCTTAAGAGCCTATATGCCAATAGAGGTCGAACAATTCGATCCAATAAAGCAACAAGGAATTACAAGTATGTAAATGAATAGTAATATCATACTCCTTAAAGTTCTTGTCGCACGAAAAAATATAGGAACACATTAGCTGACCTATTAAAAAAGCTTCATGAGTTAATATCTGTCTAAAATGTCCTTGGGAAAAATAATCAAGAGTTACAATTCAAACTTTCTTCATATATTTCTCAGTCGAAGACAAAAGTTAGGAGGTTCGCATGAACATTAAGAGATTACTGATGACATTTTAGTTTCTTCACACCTAATTGCTTGAATTAGTACCTCCTGATTATTCGAATAATGACCAGAAAACACTGAATTCTGTCTGTCAAGAATCAATCAGTACATGAGGCTTATTGGAGAGATTATCTAAGGATGCATCTGCAAATGAGTTAGATACGGTCAAATTAATTTATGATATATTGCTCTTTGGAAAACCTTAGGTTGCAAACTTGCCAATGCCCTAATTATGTTCTCAACGAAAATAAAGTTTAGACAATATTATTCAAATACCCTTCACAGTAACTCATTCGAAACCCTACTCATTCACCCCTTTTAGTTTCGATTTGTCTACTGCCTCATCTCTTTGTTGTCAAACTCCACCATTTGTCAGTTATCTTTTACTATCAAATGTAATTAAAAGTTGTGTACTTGCTGAGTCATTGGCTCACCGTTTTCTCTTCCTTTTTTTCTTCCAGATTTTCGTGGTTACCACTAAATTCACTCCACTAATTATCCCCCTGCAGCAATGTACCCACCTACAGGGTTGACGAAAACCTATCAACAGCCGGTTGTGTTACTGTCATCATTTTCGACCAGCTAAGCTAGCGATATCCCCAAGCATAATCGTACTTGTTATAAGGTTATCACGTTCTGCATGGAAATGCATATCCTTTGTCTTCTGAATGCATATTTTACCCATTTCTACAGTTTTTCGAACGCTATTTTTCACTGGACCATGTTTTTTACCATCTGTTAATATGCAAAGTATTTTTTGAACCAATTCGAATTTTTCTTCTCGAGTCAAATTAGGAAGGAAGGAGGAAAAGTTATGATAGATCTAGTTCAAGCAAGCATAATTTTACGAAGTAGAATAAACAAACTACCTACTTTTACAAAGCTGGCGTTTAGAACTTGAATGTGCAGTTGATACTACAACCGCATAGTTAGTAAGCCTAACCCACATTGTTATCATATATATATATATATATATATATATATATATATATATATATATATATATATATATATATATATATATATATATATATATATATATAGGTATTGGAACTATATGCAGCCTTAGAGAATAGGAACAGGAATTTTTATATACCTAAGTTGATGAATAATAAAAGTAAACAAAACCAACTTACAACAACCATTCAGGTTATTTTAGTCAGTTAAAATTAACATTAAACGGCATCTTCATGGTTTAAGTAGACGTTGGAGACAGTTGACAGAAAATATTTGGGTTACATTAAACACTCGATTGTGTTTTTCAGCAAAATGAAATCTTTGACATAAAAAAGAGACTATAATGTCAAGAAAGATCAACTAAAGATATTCAGTGCTAAATATTTAGACTATAGCACTGATCAATTTCGTCTTTCGACTGATGCTTACTATTTAGGCTGCGTGTAAGCCTACAGTTCTACCCTATTATCATAACCATAGTTTACTTTCTCGTCATCGAAAATTCAGTTAACTTGATCAGCATATGTTTATTCAGGTAATTCACTCAACGAAATTAGATCTTTGATTTAACTGTTAGTCACTATAGTGACGAGAAAGATATCTTCCTGTTGACCAATATAAATTGCCAAAATTCAGTTTCTCGGGTTGTTTTTGATTAGTTACCACCAATAAACAACAAGTGTAGTGTTTTATGATGTTGACCTAGCTACTGTTTGAATTAGCCTAAAAAATGAGGATACACTGTCAATTACTCATAGTTGAGTAATTAATATAGGCTGAAGTGTAAATTACTCCTAGTAGCTACCCTTATTAACGTGAGTGAAATTTACTGCACCTACTGAGGGTATATTGACTAAAGCAAAATTGGAGTTAAAAACTAACTAAAAGTTAATACTACTTAAAATGCAAGATAAAATTGAATATCCTAAATGATGAGCTATGAAATCAAACGAATTTATTCCATATTTTGGTTATTACTATGCTATGCTTTTCTCTAATACTTTTAAAAGTTACTATAAAACATTGAAGTTGAGCAGGTATATGGTTTTGCATCAGTTTAAAATGTCTAAGAAGTTATCAACTTTGAATAATTTTGAAGATAAACTCAAGACATTTAATCACATGACAAGTAGAATAATCTATCGCCTAGTAGAGAGTAATTAGAAATTATAATCTACTGAATAGAAGTTTAAAAGTAATATTACATATCTGCCATTAACATCAATAGTATAGGCTAGTTAAGGTATATTGAATATAAATGTAAGCCTTTTCACTAAATGATAACAATGTTTTGAATGTATGATCTACTCAATGAAAAGGTCAAAGATGAATTCAATTACTATGTCTTGGATTAAGGCGAAATACTTTCGATTTTTAAAGACTTAACACCTAGTACTGATTGATAATTAAAAAATAATTCCAAGTTAATCATATGATCAAAGTTAATAGCATTTAACATATCAGTAATGAAATTTGTACAATCTTCTTTCCAAGTGTGTCAAAGTTTAGGATTGTTTTCGACTTACTTAATCATAGTATATTTCCGCTAAACTCTACATAAAACTAAAATAATATACAAGGAATAGTTTAGTTATTTATGGAAATATTAACTTTCTGTTGGTTACATAAATAATATGAAGCTGGATGAATGTTATGGAATGATAAGAATGGTAATACATCAGTTCTTTGTATTGTTATTATTATTATTACCGTACCTGTATTACTAGTCACTTGTATATGGTGCAGTTATCCTTGGAGAACGTCGCCATGCACCCGGATTATATGGATTATCATACAAGCCTTTTGGTGCTTCAGCTCTACGCAGTTTCATTTGTAACTTTTCTTCTGGAGTTAAATCACGATTAGGTTGCTTTTTAAATGCTTCAGGTCGTTTCACATCATTAGTGAAAACACGACAAATTAATGGACACTCGGGACAATCACCATAATATCCATAATGAAGTTTTTCACCTTTATGAATCATTTTTCGACATAATAAAACATATCCAAAGCTAATTTCATTAAACCAGATTATTGTAATAATTAACAAAATAATTCTAATATTGAATATCATTATAATATAGAATAAGGATAGATAGATTTAAAATATAATCTAAAATGAATGACATTATATTACGATTTTAAGTACATGTGAAATATCGTATTTTTCTCTTAACTTCATGAATGTACTATTGATTCAAAGTGCATCTCTTGTTCACTTATAATGAATTAGGCTAAACATCAAAATGGTTACTGTAATATATATATAAATGCGATTTGTAAATAAAAAGGAAGTGTACTTATCATTTTCCGTTGTTTTATTGAATCGAATTGTTCGACCTCTGTTAGCATATAGGCTCTTATGCGGATGCCTCGATATTGCCTGAATGTTAATTATGTTAATTTAGTTGTTTGTGGCTAGGAAGGGCTATTGTGGTATTGTAGCATAGTGGATAACGCCTTAGCATTTGAAGCTATAGGTACAAAATTCAAGTCTCTATGGGAACAATACCACTGACCAGGGTGCAGGAACATCTAGCTGACGAGTCCCAAATAGGACGAAACATGCGTCCTGGATTCATTTGCTGGTCATAACCAACCAAATTACTTTAAAAAAAGGAAGTGGTTTTTGAATTAGTTTTTAAAAAACTATTTCCTAACCCTAACAAGTGGATAACACTCTTGTAATATCCGAATATACTTCACTTCTTTATCAAGTTAGTGCTGAAGACGTCAATAAGTCTAGTAATAAAACGTTCACGACAAAATATCAAAGCTCAGAGAACACGAAAATGCCATCTTGATATAGGAACTATTAAATTTGTGTTTAACAGTCAAATTGAACATTTAACCTGTTGATTGAATCAAACAAATAAAATATCCAAAAGCACAAACTGAGTGCATTTTGAAAATATATACTATTAAATAGAAAAATTATACTTTACTCAATTTATCTCATAAGAAAAATTCTATGAAACCAATTATTGAGGCAATGATCTTGCCTTTTATCTGTTTATATCAGTCCAGTCCATTCGATTATGTAGACTTCCGTAATTAGATAGGAAGGAGTGAATATTTTTGACAGCGGTTAAAAGTCATCGGCAAACATTAAATTGTCATTTCAAAAATGCCTAAAATATCATGCAAATGTTCCAAAACTACATAAAATGTTAGTTATTCTCAGAAAATAGATTTTTAAAAATGAAAAATGAGGCCAGTTATGATTTTTATTATCTCTTATTTGAAGAAATCTCTTGAAAGATAGATATTTCGATGTTTAGGCGCTACAGAAATGACCTTTAACTATTGTCAATACCTTCTAAACCTTGTTTATATGTTCCTGTTGATAAATTTTAAAAAAGAACCAGAGTGACGAAGTAAGTTTATTTCTTTTTAATCACTTACAAACGGCTTGAAATGAAAACTGACTACATCAAGGCACGAAAATATTTTAATTAATTAAAACTGAAATCAAAATCTGTTGAAAATAGAGTAAAAAAGGATTACTAACATAGCCAATAAGCGAAGACAGTTTATATGGGGATCAGATGGGAGATTTTAGATTCGTGTAATTGGTCTACCAGATCATAACGTTTCCAATTACTGAAAAAGTAATGTTAACATTTACGGGTGTCAGTAAGCGTTAGAGAATAAACTTTATGAAAATGTCTACTTCTTTATTGGTCAATGATAAACTCATGAAATGTCAATCGTACAACCTCTGACTTAGGTAGACCATAAATACTACTCCATAGCTTACGCTTTCGGTACTAATCTCTATGATCTCTTTCTGTTGATGTAGACAGGTAATGATAAATCTTAAGTAAGTAAACACTTTTCATGGTAAAGCGTGATATAGGTTAGATGTTTTTGGGGGAAACTGATAGAAAATCTTGGAAGTAAACTTCATCCTCGTTGGCATTCCTCAGCAAGGTGTATCTGTAACTAGGATAAAACTAGAGTTTACATAATGATTCAAACTCATGTTACAGATTTTATCAATAAGTTATTCACACCCCAAATACCTCTCCAGGAGGAAAGAATTAAACGCTCGAGATACGTTTTCTACTCAGTGTATGCAGGACCTCTGGAAATTTGACCTAGATGCAACATGAGTCATTTTAGTAGAGAGAAACGAAGTATAATATTCGAAGCAACTGGTCCCTTTGATAAATTTAAACAGCGTAATGAGAAGACGAAGATTATCTGAAACATGTGATGTATTAGCGCTATACATTTCGAACAATCTGATCACACATGGACTTGTCGAACTATTTATATGAAAATTTACGAAAAGGTCAATGAAGTTAATAGGAAACATAGGAATAGGAAGGGATAGAAAAGAAAAAAAAGGAAAACCTTACTCTTGGTATGAAAATTAAAGTCAATACTACCAAGGTAGGTTCAACGTGATATGCAGTTAAGGAAGGGTGAACATGTACCTAAGTAGCTACAAAAACAAATGACCTCAACAGATCCGATAAGTGCAGGTGACAAACATCCATCTTCGTCTATCGCTAAACATATACTAGAAACTAACCATAGGATAGACATGAAAACAGCCTATAAAGTACTACATAAAAGTGGTCAGAGCCGAGTGATTAAATTTATTGAAGCTGTTGCCATCCGTAAATTTAAACCCCCTTTATGTATACAAAAACAATTCGTACTCACGTTGAACCTACCTTGGTAGTATTGACTTTAATTTTCATACCAAGAGTAAGGTTTTCCTTTTTTTTCTTTTCTATCCCTTCCTATTCCTATGTTTCCTATTAACTTCATTGACCTTTTCGTAAATTTTCATATAAATAGTTCGACAAGTCCATGTGTGATCAGATTGTTCGAAATGTATAGCGCTAATACATCACATGTTTCAGATAATCTTCGTCTTCTCATTACGCTGTATAATATTTGAGTTTCCTTTTCCAAATAATATTACGAAAGTTTGACTGCTTTACGATAACACTAGTAAAATACTTGTCCTCTCTTAATTGTAAATTTACTAAAATAATTTGTATGGGCTAGATTAATGTCGTCTGACTTGGATTTCGCCGATGACTTGTGCCTGATGTCACATAAACTTGAAGATCTGCAGGCAAAAACTAACAAGTTGATAGAAGAGGCAGCGAAGACGGGACTTCAGGTGAATATAGAGAAGACAGAGGTGATGAAGATACCCAACCAACAACAACAAACTCCAATCACCGTCAACGGGAGAAACTTAAAGGAAGTAACCTCCTTCACTTATCTAGGAAGCACTGTTTCAACTACAGGCGGGACGGACGAGGACGTCAAAGTCAGCCAGGATCGGAAAAGCAAGACAGGCGTTCATTAGCCTGAAAGCAGTGTGGAGATCTTCTGCACTCAGCATGTGGAACAAGATCCAGATTTTCAACACCAACTCAGTCAAGTCAGTGCTTCTGTATGGTTCAGAGACTTGGCGCGTCACGAAAGGCATTTCCAATAAACTACAGACATTCATCAACAACTGCTTACGCTCGCTACTGAAGATCAGATGGCCAGAAAGAATAAGCAACAAGGAACTCTGGGAACGAACCAACCAAGAACCTATCACACAACAAATATGCAGGATGAAGTGGAGATGGATTGGGCATGCACTGAGAAGGCCGACTGAGGACATCACGCGTCAGGCCCTCGAGTGGAATCCCCATGGGAAGCGACGAGTTGGACGTCCGAGGGTGACATGAAGGAGGTCGTGCGAGGAGGAAATGAGAGCTTCTGGGCTGTCGTGGGACCAGGTTCAAAAGATCTCAGAGAATAGAGGTCACTGGAGACGTGCTACTGAAGCCCTACGTTCCACTAGGAACCCAAGGGACTAATAATAATAATAATAGATTAATGTCGTTTACTTCCTTCTTTCTATAACATTGCATATATTTTATGTTAAATCGTATCCTAAACAATATTTGTCTATAAGCGGTGGTATAACAGCTATTCCAGTCCATGCATTAGCCTATTCAAGTATCTTTTCTGTGGGTGGCTCAAATTTATTGATATTACCAGTCCTATAGTTTACACTGGAATGTACGAACTTAAGTTTCAGTACATTGAATATTGCAATTTAGATACTCAGAAAAAAAGACTGATTGAGTGAAGAAATATATTCCCTTTCAATTAGGTCTTCGTCTGCGGCTCTACACTAAAATATAGTCTTAAAATTCAATCAAAATACCAATCAAATAGTGGCGAGTTGGTAAACAATAACCATAGACATTTTAAGTAAGTCATGAAGATGATAAATTTTAGAAAATAATATGTCAATAATCAATAGAGTTACAATAGTTGGAAATATGAAGCAGGTTATTCTTAAGTAAATGGAGTGGTTTGTGATGAGTGTTCAGTCATTCACAAATAGCGATTACGTAACCATGGGAAAATAAATGAATATCGATAGAAACAAGAAGGGGAAGAGGTGTACAAAGTAATTCTAGAAGTTACATCATGTTCACGGACAAGCTAATGAAAGTGGTCGAACAAACTTGTTTTGAATACAAAGTTTAGGTTTGTAAAGGTAGATTGCAATTGCCTCTGCTATGTGAAGCAACGGAGTGCGTAATCCATATGGTGAACTAAGTGGAATATGACGAATAACTTGGAAAGCTTTTCTAATCTCCACTTGATGTCCATTGTCAACTAAGCGTGTAAGTATAGAGCTCTTTATTGTTCTAATTTGTTTCTTGCTCGATCATGATGGGAGATTCCCAGAAATTTGACGATAGACCTGCCCCATTTTATGCCCAACATAACTAGCTCCGTAGGATCAGTTGGATTGATAAATGCACACGGAATTGGCAGAACCAGTCAGTTAGTCTTTATTCCTGGCATTCCATTAACGTGACTGAGCAGCTACCGGTGGAACGGTACACTCACTCTTTCAGTTCATTTGTGACCTATACAGAAAATGCTTTAGTTTTATTCTAACCAGTCATCTAACTGTTGAGATAGTAAACTGATCACCACTAC